AGGCTCACCGGTGAAGAACTAGCTGAACGCCCCGCTGTTTTCCATGTGCTCTATCTGTTCAGAACCTTCATGCCAACTGTAGCTCATAACCTCTCGGTGTAGTGGCCTGACATGTGCTCAGCGTTGGTGTTTTGTGTTGTGTGGCACATCAGTTAGCAGGTGACCTGTCTCTGACTTCTTCCCAGAGACATCCCTTAAGGACTCAGAAATACCGTCTATAAGAACAGACCAAAGTGCTGACTGCAACAACTCTCAACAGTTGTCATCATTTCCTCCCTGGCAATATTCTGACCCGTCTTTTTAATGAACCGCTGCATCCAATCAGCTTTATGGTGCTGGCATCACAGTGCGGACACACATTACTACACAGAACAAGTAGCAGGCACACCATGTGCCTTCCAAGAAAATTGTCCAGGAAAAACTTCTGCCCTCCACGTTATGTTAAATATTTTGTTTTAAAAGCACTTAATCTTACTCTGGAAAATCTACGTCTATATCCTCACTTAGCTGGCCAGTCCCCAGTTGACTATGCCATGTTGGAACCATTTCCAGCTGGATGCAGATGAGGGAGGCTGGAGTTAGGTCTGGCTCTCGTCAGCATACTTCTGGCCATACTGTTCAATTTGTGTGTGTGTGTGTGTGTGTGTGTGTGTGTGTGTGTGTGTGTGTGTGTGTGTGTGTGTGTGTGTGTGTATGTAATCAGAAGTCTTTATTTCAGGGTCTCTCACCCTGGTGTCTTTTTTTCTCATTTATTTTTATTTTAGTTTTATATTGGAGTATAGTTGATTAACGGTGTATTAGTTTCAAGTGCACACCTGATTCAGTTATACATATGTCTCTTCTTTTTCAAATTATTTTCCCATGTAGGTTATTACAGAACATTGAGCAGAGTTGCCTGTGCTCTGTAGTAGTTGCTTGTTGGTTGTCTGTTTTAAATATAGCAGTGTGTACATGTCCATCCCAGACTTGCCATGCTTTTAAATGCCAGCTCTGGCTACATTAGAGTTACCTGGAGCATTTATTAAACCTCAAGATTTCTAGGCTTCAATTAGGACTTACTAAATTCTCTGGAAATCGCACCTCACATGCCTCTGCTAGGCAGCACATGGGGAACACTGCTTTGAAGTACATTTATTCTCTCATCCAGCCAATTTTTAATGGGTAGTAAAGCTGGGAGGTTGTTTTTTTTTTTTTTTTAATCTGAAAGGTGGTGCTAGGAAATTCTTTGAGCTCAACAGATTCTGAGTATCGTCAGAAGCCCTGTAGATAAAACTGAATGAATACGCCTGAAAACCATGTCTGAGAAGATGGGCACAAGTAAAAAATGCCTTTCTGAAGACATTTAAGATAAGAAGCCATGCATGAGAGGTCTACAGGTCTAAAGGAGTTGGCTAGACTGGTATTTAAGAGTTAATAAACATAGTAAATACATTCACTGGAATCCAGAATATAGCTTTGTAAGGCCATTAATACAGAATCATCCAAGGGCCAGATCAGTCTCAGCCTGGCCTATTCACAATGGCATAAATTAAGAGGTAGGGGGAGATCTATTTACTCTTTACAAAGAACATTTGAAACTAGGCTTTGTATTCAGGTATTATAGGTCTTTGTTCTTTTTCCAGATAACTAAAGCATATCACTTTTTAAAAAAAATTCTTTTTCTGGGACCCACTATCACTGAATTGACTGAGTTTCCTCCCAAATAAACCACCTCTTGCCGCTGTTAGCATTTAAGCAGTCTCATCCTTTGCTGGCAGCTGTCACATTGCTCGGACCTGTCAAAGCAGTTCCCATTTCAGCTTCTCCTCTGCTTTCCACAGTAGACGCAGGTGAGACCAGTGGTTACCCAGATAAACCCTAAACTCTTTTTTAAGTATCACCGTTTCAGTCTCACATTTTCAAAATGAAGCACGAGGGCTTTGTGACAGCTTTATTTCCTGTGGTTCTGTGACTCTCTCCTCCCAACTTTAAGAATGTATAACTAGCCATGTCTGCCAGAGTCTATTTTGTTCCTGTTCTTTTTGGTGTGTGTATTTAAGTCAGACATTAGCTTTTCATATGCCTTAATCTTAAGATAGAAAGATCTGCAAAAATAACTGTTGCACTTACCCCTTAGATTGAAGACATTGAAAGTACTTTGTAATTTGTGTTTCAGGGTTAGGTGACTAAGGGGAAAATCCATTGGCTTTAAGAGTCTTGACTATTCATTACCTTTACACGGAACACTTACTACTATGCCTAGATGGGTATTTCAGTCATGCTCTAAAATTGCATGAAAGTGAAGCACAAGTGAAACCAAAGTCTGATGAAATGTGGCATTGAAGGGTGAGAGAAAATACGCCATCAGCGTACTGCAGAGGGGGTGTTGTGTAAATTTAAGTCTGCAGTAGATGAGGGGCTTCTCCGTGAAAGACCAGGGTAAATTCTCTTCGTGGGTTTTTGAAAGTCAGGGCAAGCCTGTTGAAAAACATCTCCTTCCAGGGCTGCTGCTAATGCGTCTTTCTCTTGGTGGTAATGGTCTAGTCAGAGCCCCAAGGAAGGAGCTGGAAAGAAAAACGGCACCTTTTGAATAATTGCAGTTGCCTCTCTTTCTTCAGGCTTCCCTGATAGCTCCGCTGGTAAAGAGTCTGCCTGCAGTGCAGGAGACCCTGGTTCGATTCCTGGGCCGGGAAGATTCGCCTGGAGAAGGGATAGGCTAGCCAAGCAGGATACCTTTCTCTGTGCCAAGAATTCATACTGCCATGTTTAGTGGATTTAAAAGAAAATTGCCAAGTTTTGTAAAGAGGGTACTTAACCTTAAGTTTAAAAAGGAAATCTCGACTGTCGGCATGCGATCTTGACCTGTTTGGGAAGTTTGAATGCTGAGTGGTGGCTTTATCTTCTGCAGGATGGACTGTGAGATAGAACTCTTATGCTTTTGTCCCTTAGTGCAACCTATAAATGTGGGCCCTCGGGAATTCTCGTTTCTGGGCTTAATATATTACATATTGCGTGATATTTTATCTTAAGGATCCACAGGACCTGTGTGACTTTGGGTTTTTCAGCCACTGCAGCTGTTTCTATATCAGTAAAATCAGGATAATGCCCACTTGTGAGGCTTAACACTTTGGAAAACACGTTGTATAATAAATAGCCATCTCACAATAAATAATTATTCAGATCGTCACAGGAAGAGCAGTGACTAGTCAGTAGTAGGTTTTTTAATTTTTTTTATTTTTATACAATTTTTAAAGGTTATTTTCCATTTACAGTTATTCCAAGATATTAGCTATGTTCTCCTTGTTGTGCAGTACATCCTTGAGCCTCTTAACCACCTATAGTTTGCATCTCCCACTCCCCCACCCCTACACTGCCTGTCCCTCCCTCCCCACTGGTAACCACAAGATTGTTCTCTATACCTTTGAGTCTGCTAGTTTCACATATTCATGATGCTAAGTGAAATAAGTCAGGGAAAGACAAATGCTATCCCTTATATGTCAAATTTTTTTATTCCACATATAAGGGATAACATACGGTATTTGTCTTTCTCTGACTTATTTCACTTAGCATCATGCTCTCCAAGTCCATCCATGTGGCCATAAATGGCAAAATTTCATTCTTTCATCAGTTTTGTGTGTCTAAACCTCTCCTTTATCCATTCATCTGTTGATGGAAGTAGTATGCATTTTTAACAATCAAGGATAATGGTCTTTCAGCCTCACCTGGGGTGAGGGCTGGGCATGGAGGCAGGAAGGAAAGTTAATAGAGGCAATGCTCTGGAGTTGACAAGAGCTGGTCAGTCCCTATAAGCAAGTCGGTGGGTGAGTTCTCCCTTGCATACTCCAGAGATGATACAGTCAGCTACCTCCCATTTGCAGAGAAGAGGGCCAGTTGGACTGGTGACCTTGATTTGATTTCCTTTGATGAGAAATGGTGGCTGGGTGACGCGGTGGCCAAAGGCTGCACAGGGGAGGCTACTGGGGAAGAGGAGAGTACCTGGGCAGAAGGGCGTTGCTTTGGAGCACATCTGAGGTCTGCAGAGACTCCCTTCTCTGGATGCTGGCCTCCTGACGTGCTCACAGCTGGTGGGACAGTCTTGTGGTGCAAGTTCTCCTTACTCTCCCCCAAAACCTGCCCATAAAATAACAATGCACCAGGGTCCCTTTTAAAAAACAGGATTCTTTTTTATAAAAATAACATGTGATTGTTAAACAATTCTAAAGTACTCAGAAAAAAAGTCTTGAGACCGCAGAGCCAAAGACAACTGGCTTGTCTTAACTCTGATGCCTGCAGAAACGCGGCCGACGCAAAGCCAGACTCTGAAGGGCCTCTGAGTAAGTTATCCTGTGAAGTGTAACCTACACTTCGGTGTTTGTTTCTAACTGGGCAGTTTAAATGCTCCTTTGATGAAGGGTCATTATGGTTATTTGCATGTTCTCCTCCAGTGTAGATGCTTTATTAAACATTCTTTTAATATATTTAAGTGTTCTAATATATTAAATATTAATCACGAGTCAGTTTATTTTTTTATATGAGCATATACTTTGTATTTTAGTTATACCATGTAATTTGAATGTGCAGATTAATTATGGTGCTGTCAGCAGTGCTCCATCCATATGAATTCTGCCTCCCTATTCTGCCAGCAGGAGGGAACAGTACAATTACATGGGAAATCAGGACTGTTTCACTTTTATGGCTATCAAAATAGTGTAAATTAATGGTACATATGTGCGTGTGTGTGCTAAGTAGTGTCCAAATCTGTGCGACCCTGTGGACCGTAGCCTGCCAGGCTCCTCTGTCCATAGGATTCTCCAGGCAAGTACATATCACCTTAATCTTTGTCCCAGGGCATGAAACATCCTTGTGTGTAGTCAAAGCCTTATAAATACATTTTAAAGAAAAAGAGGAAAGGCTAAGTTGATTTAGCAAATATATGTATGTTTGTAGCCATGAGAGGAATAAGCCTTTATGCCTTATTTTCATTTTATCACCTCCCATTCTGTTGTCCACTTTCTCCCCAGGCCCAGATTATATCAAACAGAGATTTCAGGAAGGTGTAGATGCTAAAGAAAATCCCGAAGACAAGGTCCCGGAAAAGCCCCCCACACCAAAGGAATCGCCTCACTTCTACCGCAAAGGCACCACACCCCCAGAGTCTCCTGAGCCAAGTCCCAGAGAAGGCCGCTCTCCCTCCCCAAAGCCCGCAAGGAAGCAGAACCCCAGTTCAGGGGCGAGACTCAACCAGGACAAACGCAGCGCGGCTGAGGAGAAGGTGACGGCTGCTGTCAACAAGCCCTTGGCCTCCAAGGCGCCCCCGAAGGAGGCGGGGGCGGCCGTGCCCTCCTCCAAGTACTCTGGCCGCCACCACATCCCCAACCCCAGTAACGGGGAGCTGCACTCTCAGTACCACGGGTACTACGTGAAACTGAACGCCCCCCAGCACCCTCCGGAGGACACGGAGGAGGAGGGGTCGAGCCAGTCTTCCTCGGCACTGGTGCACAAGCCGTCACCCAACAAGTGGAGTCCCCCTAAATCTGTGACAAAACCAGTTGCCAAAGAAAGCAAAGCTGAGCCAAAAGCTAAGAAGTCTGAACTTGCTATACCAAAGAACCCAGCGAGCAGCGATGCACGCCCTGCTTTGGAAAAAGAAGCCAATTCAGTAAGTTGTACGAGACGTGGCTCCCTGTCCCTCTGCTCCTCTGGGTTCTCCTGGGTGGCATCGGGAGAAGGGCGCCTTGATGACAAGGAGCCCGGGGCTCTCTGAAGGGTAGCGTTCATTAGCACCAGCGGCTCTCCGCGCAGCATTTCCTCCATGTTCACACGGCCTCCCTCAGGCTTCCTACAGGTGGGCGCACGTGTCCACCTTGTCCCAGCTCCACTTTCACAAGCCTTTACCAGCATGCGGTGGTAAGCTTCACGGGAGCTGTCTTACAGCTCCAGCTGTGGTAACAAAAAACTGTACCTTGAACTGTGTGGTTTAAAAATCAAACGCTTATTTGTCACAGTTCTGGAGGCTGAGTGGTCCCAAGATCAAGGCACCAGCAGATCTGAGGTCTGGTGAGAACCCACTGCCTGGTCCGTGGACCACGAGCCACCTTCTCCCCGGGTCCTCGCAGGGCTAAGAAAGGGGGAACGAGTACCGTCAAAGGGCTGCAACCTCATCACCTGATCGCCTCCCCAAGGTCCATCCTCCAGGGCTTAGGGCTTCACTGTGTGAATCTCGGGGCAGGGACACAATCGGGCAGCCTCTAACAGCAGCTGACTGCCGGGTCTGGGAAGGAATCATGACCTTGCCAGAGGCCGGCCGTTGTGCTCTAACCAGGAGGAGAGCTCCACTGCCGTTTGCTAAGTTCTTAACTTTAGGCTCCACCCCAATGACGGTCAGCATCTTTTCTGGCTATTGTGAATTATTCTCATAAATGTTTAGTTTGGATTTTATTTAACAGCCAGGCTTTTAAGAACTATTTCTTTCCTGTATAAGAAGTGAAAATTTTCAACTGGTTAAGAAAGTTACTTTGGTTTTCTAATTCCTCAGAGTGTAAATCTTCCTAAAATTTCAGTTTTCTCATAGATGCTAGTTTTATGATGAGTCTTGACCATTTACTGTTTTTATTATTCAACCAGAAAGCTCTCATTGATAGATATCAATATGTTTATTCAGTAAGATTTAAAATTCTATTAAATTGTTGACCTGGTCATATGACTTTGGAAAAGATTGTAATTTAGCGAAGAAGCCACAGTTGACCCAGTATTGACTAGTAATTTCTGAGACATATTTGCATAAAGGTGTAGATTAATAATTTGGTCAATGAGAACATAACCATCAGTTTACTTTTGTCTGTTCAGTCTACTCATAGGGTTAACATTGAAATTCATTTTTCAACTTTTATGTTTGAAATTTCTTAGGTTTATTTTGCTAATGTCTATTAACGTGGGTTCCCACCTTCTTTAAATTCTCACCTTTTTAATTATCTAAATATAAATTAATCAAATTAACTTTCTAAGAGTCAAGCTTTATATAGATACGTGGTTTTCAAAAACAGTAGTTTTGAGACTCACTGTTCAGTAAGCATTTTTTTTAACATTGATGTATCAGTATCCTGATACTAAATATGTGTTAATGTTATCACTACTGAATTTGTTAAATGTGATAACTTCTCTTTTGGCTTTCAGCATTTATCCATAGGGTTAGTCAAGCTTCTCATATAAATTGGTATTAGTTTGCTTAATTTACAAGAGGAAAATTCAGACAATACAAGGCTATATCGTTTATACTTTTTGGATACCCATTAGTGGGGTTCAGTTGATTTTAAGAACTCCCTAAGGGAAAGTATATGCCCCAGTGTCCCTCACATTAGGTGAGTTACCTAGTTCTTACCTGTAATAAACTGTTACTGATTGGTATGTTTGGTGAATTAGCGCCTTCTTGTTTAGAAACAGCATCTGTTTCGTGGATGTGCAGAACATTCAGATTCTGGGAGTTAGCCAGGCATCGTGCAGCTCTGCAGGCTGGTCTCTAGGGTTCCCTTGGACACCCGAGGATAGGAGGCGGCCAGCAGCTCTGTACCTCTGTTAGGAGCTGGAAGTCAGGGCTGAATTGGTGCCTGGTGGTTCAGACGGTAAAGCGTCTGCCTACAATGTGAGAGACCCGGATTCGATCCCTGGGTCAGGAGCATCCTCTGGAGAAAGAAATGGCAACCCACTCCAGTACTCTTGCCTGGAAAAATCCCATGGATGGAAAAGCCTGGTATGCTACAGTCCATGGGGTCGCGAAGAGTCAGACACGACTGAGCGACTTCCCTCTCTCACTCTGTGACGAGTTTAACAATTAACCTTCGCTTCCTTGATAACAGAAAGCTGCCTTTCACACCCCTGGTAACTGTTTTCTTCACAGGGAGTTAGGAACGTGACAGAATTATCCTAAAGGTAGTCAGTGAATGACCTATAAAACAAAAGAGCACTACATACAATTTTGAAATTAAGACAGTGTATAAGTTAGAAGTTTACAAATAACAACTTGGAAACTCGCAGAAACATTCACACTAAAGCAGACCTTAGAGGGGAAACCAGACTGAGCTCCTCTTTGTGAGACAGTGTGAGAGGTCCACTTTGAGTCAGAATCACCAAACAATTTGCAGAATTGTAGTCAGCCAGCTTCCTGAGAGTGTAGGCTACTAGCTAAGGGTGTGGCCTCTTATGCCAGACACCACAGGTTCAAATCCCAGCTGTGTTACTTACCAGCACTTTGACTTTTACGCAAGTTTCTTAACCTGTGAATTAGTTTCTTCATTTGTACCTATATCAAGGGTTGTGAAGATTACTATCAGTGGTTGTAAGTTGATCCTTGTAAAGGTCTTAGAGCCTCGCATAGGGTAAGTATTCAGAAAGCACTGACTATTATTAAGTTCACCTCAACACTAGTTGGAGCATAAACAGTTCATAAATATTTTCCGGTAGGTTTTGATCCATCCTCAGGATCACCCTGGGTATTGATTCCTAGAAATAGAATCTTCGGGGACACGGGCTAACACGTGGGAGAAGGGGAGCCACAGCAGGGATTACGTTACAACCTTCTTCCAGTCTGCGACTCCTGTGGGCAGTGGTTGCACGTGGACTCATGTCCCAGGATATGTGATGCCAAGATTTTTGTAGGATTTTTGCAATATGGCAGCTTGGGTAGAAGGCAGTAATTAGATATCTTGAGAACCTTATGATCAAAGAGACTAGTAAGGGGTCTTCTAGTTAGGAGACTCAGCTCCTGAAAACAGCCCACACTTTTCTCTTAGCAGTTACACTGATCAGCTTCCAAGTTTGAGATTTACCCAACGCTGCTTCTGAATTGTTATAAAACCTAAGGCAGCCATGTTAGATCAGGTTTGAACCACACACACACAGTAAACACATATAATTAACTTTTGCTCTTTTCATGGTTTTGGAGAAGCTTGAAGTTTATCAAATTGTACTAACTCTTCAGAAAATTCTTCATAATTTTAAATGAGTGATAGTCTCTTGAAGAAAAAAATTCTTGAGTTAGAACTTCTTTCCATAGTTTGACTTCCTGCACATTAGTTTCTAACTGCCTGAAAGTTTCTTCTAATCAAGACTTGTACTCTGCCCTACCACAGCTTCTTGTATTACACCTGTCTCAGTCAGTCTTCAAAAGCAAGACTTGACTTTTTTTCTTTTTGCTATTTTAAGCTACAACTGGCCACTGCAGTCATATTTATGAGGCTTCACCTTAAAGCTTTCCACTCTGTACCCAGCCCAGGTGTCTGGTGAGCACAGAGGTCATGTCTTGATATCCACCTGTTAACCATAGTGTCCCAGAATTTAATTTTTTTACCTGGCTGTTTGAGCCTTTTATTGCCCGTTTACTCTTATCTAAACTAAGTCATCTTTAAAAATAGCTTTATAAGTGGAACTATACTGGTAGGATAAATATATGTGTATATTAGAATATATATGGGAGAAATACTTATTCAATAGAAATTATGTCTGTATAAATATACACAAACCCAAAATACTGACCAATTCAAAAAGTTAGATAAATTCATGGAACCCTTTAAAGACTCAGAGTGGGAGTGAAAGGTCCAGGCACACCGTTACTGAAGGTACTTTCTCTATCATTCTGCTTTCTCAGGGTCCCTTGTAAGTCACTGAACTTTGCATCATATTGGTTTGACGTTACTTTCCCTTGTCTTCTTTCATTATCACTCACTGTCTGGAGGAATTATGAAATGAAATCCACTAATCCAAAAGAGTTGAAAGGATCCCAGAATTCTTAACACATTCCTAAGAAAATCTAAACACATTCAGTGAGCAAAGTCTATTCAGCATGTATATTAATAGCATTTCCGTAATCTCCGGCCTGAGTAATAATGTTGAAAGATCATCAATTATTTTCTGAGTTCTAAGAGTTTCCCTACATTATTTATATGTTGTAAGCTAACCATAATTGAGGAGTTACATAGGTTAGTACTCTGCTGTTAATTTAGAACACAGCTACTCTAAAAGACCCATTGGTCATTATCAAGAACTGATGTTTTTCTGATACTATAGGATATAGATGAAAATTCCATTTTAAAGAAGTTGATGGTAAATTATTTTTAAACTAAGGCCTGTGACTTTAATAGAGATGAAGAACATATAGTTCTGAAGTGAACAGACCAAAGTTATTTAATCTCAGTTCTAATTTATTCAAACTGGCTGAGTAACCTTGGGCAAGACACTTACCTTTTCGGAGGTTTGTAAAATGGAACTAATAATCACTGTGAAGAATTATTTTCCTCCCACTTGCTTGGAGTGTAGGAACTAGGCTTTTTCTTCTAAGAATCCCTCTATAGCACCCATTTTTATTCCTCTTCTCTGTCATCCTGATTTTATGAATCACCCTGTTCTTCATTTAATACAGTGTTCAGCCACCACATCCATAGTATTGGAAAAGTGGAAGGTGGGTTCTCATTAAATACTGCTTGTCTGGATGAACTGGACAGCCCTTATGTGCGAGTACATAGTGGTGAACACGGAGGACCCCTGTGGGACTCAGTCTGCGGGAAAAGATGGCAGTTAACAAGAAAGGACAGTAAGGTGTGAAGTGTTAGGACACAGAAAGAGGAGACACTCTGACCTCTACCGGGGAGGATGTGGCCTCATCCAGAAAAGAGGCCTCCTTGAAGGACATGGGACTCAAGCCCTGGACCCTGTGAGATGAGCACTAACCATTGGCAGTTCCAGCCTCTCTTACTCACTCACCACCCCCTGCAGATCACATCATTATAGCATCTGAAGACTGACACAGTTTCACTGTAGGATAATCAACTATAGTACAAGTGGGTCCTCGTCCATAAAATGAGAATAAAACTACCTACCCCACCTCCCTTATAAGGCAAGTTTTAGAGCACTTTTAATGCCACTTAAGAATTAGACACTATTTTAATAGTTAATACCAAGAATGCCTCTTTATAGTAAAGATAGCCAAGCACAACAAGATCTAAACAGATGGGTCATACAACGGTTTTGTTTTGTATTTTAAAAAAAGTAAATTTGTGGCACTTTAGACTGTGTGGTATTTATTATAGTGGTACTTACCAAAATAGGATTCTGTGATTTGTTAAAATATAACTTGATTTCTGAAATACTGTGGCTGTGAGCAGAGAAATTAAAAAAGATCTTGCACAGTAATTGACGAAAGGGTTCAATTTCCCACTTGTAGTTTTTACCTTAAGGAAGGGATGGTATCCAAAAAGACCAGAGAAAACAAGAGTCAAAGAACCTCCTCCTGAGTTTTTCCTGAACTTTACCAGAGCAGCCTCACCATCCTTCAGATTTCACTCTCCTGTTTCCAGCTGCCTTGATGAAGAAATGATTTCTTCCTAGAAATCATTACACCCTCCCTAACAAAAATGCATCTTTAATTCCCATCAGTTTTTTTTTTTCATTTATTTTTATTCATTGGAGGCTAATTACTTCACAACATTTCAGTGGGTTTTGTCATACATTGACATGAATCAGCCATGGAGTTACATGTATTCCCCATCCCGATCCCCCCTCCCACCTCCCTCTCCACCGGATCCCTCTGGGTCTTCCCAGTGCACCAGGCCCGAGCACTTGTCTCATGCATCCCACCTGGGCTGGTGATCTGTTTCACTATAGATAATATACATGCTGTTCTTTCGAAACATCCCACCCTCGCCTTCTCCCACAGAGTCCAAAAGTCTGTTCTGTACATCTGTGTCTCTTTTTCTGTTTTGCATATAGGGTTAAACCCATTATGGTGAGCTCTCTCACCCAGACTGTTGCCCAGTATTTTAAGGTGAAGTCAATTATTTTTTAAGTCATTTTTTAGGTTTAATCAATACTAGATTCATTTTTCTGTGAAAGTTCAGAGATGACTCCATCTAAATACAACATAGCTATTTTTAGTTTATATCTTTTAGAACTGTTGTCATTATTCATGCTCTATTTACTGCAACTGTGTTGTTGTTGTTCACATACTAAGTCATGTCCAATTCTTTGCAACCCCTTTGGATGGCAGCATGCCAGGCTTCCTTGTCCTTCACTGTCTGCTGGAGTTTGCTCAGACTCAGGTCCATTGAGTTAGTGATGCTATCTAACCATCTCATCCTCTCCCAACCTCTTCTCCTCCTGCCCTCAATCTTTCCCAACATGAGGGCCTTTTCTAATGAGTCACCTCTTCACATCAGGTGGCCAGAGTATTGGAACTTCAACATCAGTCCTTCCAATGAATATTCAGGGCTGATTTCCTTTAGGATTGACTGGTTTGATCTCCTTGCTGTCCAAGGAACTCTCAAGAGTCTTCTCCATCACCACAGTTTGAAAGCATCAATTCTTAGGCACTCAGCCTTCTTTATGGTCTAACTCACACCTATACATGACTACTAGAAGAACAGTAACTTTGACTATATGGACCTGCAGCTGTGTTGTGTCTTTTTAAGTATTTTTGGTAATTGGTTTTGTGATCTAATTTAACTATTGCTATTAACGTGGGAAAGTGACACTTAGAATTTTCTATTTTGTTGTTTCATTTCCAGGGCCCTAATTCAATCATGATCATCCTCGTCATGCTGTTGAATATCGGGTTGGCCATTCTTTTTGTTCACTTTCTAACTTGATTGGAATTAGGAAAGGTAAGAATAGCCTTAATTTCTATATAAAATCACAATCTATCACATTCTTTTCCCCTATTCAGATTTACATTTTTTTTTTTTTTTAACAACCGTGCATTGTCCTTCAATTTAATTTTGGCTGCGCCTGAATGTGATTCAACATAGTTACTTAATGATATCACTGTTTTGACCCTTCGGTGAAGTCATGACAACTAATGGTGTGAGCCCACGGTCCTCTGCAGTGGTGTCATCAGCCCTTTAAATGGCACACTCCAGGCAGACTCAGACACAGGGAAGGAGGCTTGGAATTAGGATGGGCTCACGAGAGAGAGAGAGAGAGAGAAAGATGGAGAATTCAGCCGGAGGACCTGTCCGGTCCCCCCTGGGAAGGCGTTGTGGCTGTGGGGTCCTCTGGGAGCTGAAGCAGGCAGCCGTGTTGGAGAGCAAAACTTAATAATCATTCTTTCTTAACATCTGCTGAAGCAGCCCCATCCGGCGAAGTTCTTGGCATTGGCTACTCCATCTGTCCTAGCAGAGTGTGACTAAACTGGAGATATATGGAGCTGCTTTTTTTTTTTTTTTCTTTTTTTTGACGGAAGTCAACAGCTGCCTTACTATTTTACCATCTGACGTTGCTAGTAGGGAGCTGGGGAAACAAACGACCGCCCTAGGAATGCGGTTGGAGGATTGTGTTGCTGCAGCCATGGTTCCAACATTCACTCCAGTCTCAGTAGAGGAAGTAGGCAGCAGCATCACTCACCAGTCTTATGCCACGACCTGCTGCTTTCTCATCTCCTGGAACGTCCCGGGAGAGAAGGTTTTGTCGGCTTGTGCACGGTTCTGTTCATTTCTGCTGTTTACTTAAATCTGATGTGTGGTCACCTACAGCGTGCGGTCCTGGCCGGAGGAGGCACACATGTCGCATCTCGAGGAAAAGAAAACAACAGAATTCTAGAGAAAATGTGTTTAATTTGATAGCAATACATCATTCTTCATGTCATGTTTAGTCTTCCTAAACCTGCAAAAGGCTATTTAAAATTTAGCAATTTGAAGGCATTATACCTAAGAAATCACTTAAACATTTTTAACACTACTGAGATGAATTTATTTATGCACTTCAGAGGTGCTAAATTTTAAAAGCTGAAAGACAACAGAATTCTAAGAAGTATAGTCAAAATGTTGCATGGGTTGCAGTAATCAGTGTTCAAAGGATTCAGTTTCATTGCTGACGTACTTTAACCACCAAATAAAATCTTGTCAGTGGCTATGTTAATTCCCATGAAAGTTAAGCAAGATGCTATTAATAACTGCTCTTCTCTTTTTTTGTTCCACAACTTACAAATTTTCATTGAATACATTCAGGTAGAGCATAAAGCTTTGTTCAATCAGTGCTTCTCAATTTTATGCCTTTCGTGTTTTTCAAAGTCCTTTTGTAATTTTATTTCACACTTTAAAGGCGTAGACAATTTTTAAGTATCTGTCTTTTGCAGTCCTTTGTTATTCTGACATAAATGGATTTTTTTGCTGTTTTATAATTTATTCTTTATTACTCAGAAGCATGCTTATTTAGAGAAACTATGTGGGCTTTATATAATTATTTAAAAAGAAAATCAGGGGAGGAAAGTTATCCATTCAATCTTGGTAAAATATTGAGGAGAGGGAGCTATTCCTAAGTATTTTCATGATCTGCATGGTTTAATCAGATTCTTCTTACCTTATTTGCTACCGTTTTGATGCAGAAGAGAGAAGTCATATGTTAGCACAGATGTGGACTGAATGTCACCTGCAGGGTAGTAACCCAGTGGTGTTTTTTGCAGAAGTACAATATGTTGAAACTCCTGGGTGTGACCAATATGGAATAAAGAAGAAAGCAGAAAGAGAGCAAATGAAAATTACAACTTGTATATTTATTTTTTACATTTTGCTTTGACTTTTAAATCTAGGAAGTACATTTTTACCCAAGAAACGTTTCAGTTCCTGTGTCAGTCTCCATACTCTCACTGCTCCATCCTAACCCCATAGCTCTTGATGCTGGGAAAGCTGATTTTTTTTTAAAAAAATGAAATAAAATATTTAATCTTAAGTGTTTATTTCAAATGTGTAATGCTTTGGAAATAATGGGTAACAGATAATAAAGGATATGTTTATAAAGTGAGCATGTTGGTTCCATTTATAAATATATGTATGATTTATAAGCTTTTTTAAAACAAAGCTCAAATTGTTGGTATTTTTCTAAAATGTGCACAGCTGTATTTTACATGAAAGGCTCTTTCTAATGGGTTGTTATACTGTACTCTACATTTTGGACAGCACATGAAGTCTGCCAATTGTACTTAATAAAACATGACTTTGTTTATTTAAAGTTTCTTGCTGTGAAAAAGAACTCCCTACCTGCGAGTTCCGTTATTTATAATCCTTGAAACCAAAATGTATAATGTACAGTTTTCACAACTGTATCTGCTCTAATAAAAAAAAAAGTTGGTTATTAATAAAGTTGCAGGTGTGTTTCCTTTAAGAGTAAATTACTGTCTTGAGTTATGTGGAATTTTTTGATGGTGATGGTGTTGAAAGATCTGCTGAAAAATTAATAATAGAAATGGGGGGGGGGGGGCGCAGCACAGTGCTCAAAGAATCCACCTGGCAGAAGGACACAGTGCTGCACCATTATTTTTTTCTATGTTTCTTTCACCTTGGGCCTTTCAAGTAATTTTGCAAAATAAGATTCTTGGCTCTGCTCGTTGCCTTCATTGTGTATGCGCTCAGTCATGTCCAACTCTTTGCAACCCTATGGACTGTAGCCCTCCAGGCTCCTCTGTCCATGGGATTTCCCAGGCAGAAATACTGGAAGGGAGTGCTATTATTTCCTTATCCAGGGGATCTTCCCGACTGAGGGATCAACCCTTGTCTCCTGAACTGGCAGGCGGACTCTATCAGCTGAGCCACCAGCCAGAGTCATTAACTCTATTAGTGCCTTATCCCAGGTTTTAAGTCCATTCCTGTTTTCAAGGAAAACGTCAAGTTGAAGGAAATCTCCTGCACGGGCACTTTGCAGTTAGTTTTTTGACCATTGTGGGCCAGAGAAATCGATATGTTACTCTAGCCCCTGCTGCTTAGGTACTGCTGCTGCTAAGTCGCTTCAGTCGTGTCCGACTCTGTGCGACCCCATAGACGGCAGCCCACCAGGCTCCCCCCTCCCTGGGATTCTCCAGGCAAGAACACTGGGGTGGGTTGCCATTTCCTTCTCCAATGCATGAAAGTGAAAAGTGAAAGTGAAGTTGCTCAGTCACGTCCAACTCTTAGTGACCCCATGGACTGCAGCCTATGAGGCTCCTCCATCCACGAGACTCTCCAGGCAAGAGTACTGGAGTGGGGTGCCATTGCCTTCTCCGGCTTAGGTACAAGCAGCTTAAATAAACTTATACTTGAACAAACTTGCTGCAAATAGAACTTGCAGCCTTTGAAGCCATACTGGCTGCTGGCCTCACTGGCTTGATGCGTCAGCAAGCAGCCTATGAGGAATAATAAAAAGGGCTTCTCTAGAAGAACAGCTTCCCAGGAAGCTGCCACAACGCCTTTAAATCCCAAATTGGTCACTCCTATTGTGAGCTAAGGTATCAAAGACCCCCACAAGCATAATGCACAGTTATTGGCTCTAGGTATTAACAGATTTATCAACTCAGATGATTCCTCTCCTAGCAAATCCCCCAGGAACAGAACACAGAACAGACTACTTTGGAGCAGGCAGGAGAAGCACAGGGTGCTAGAACAATTACCGACTCCAGATTCATGTCCAAACCACAGATTTCGGTGGCTGAAGCCAAAAGCTAGGGTGAAGACTGTGTGGTTGGGAAATCTGGAAAATATTCGATGTGCCCTTTTCACACAGTAACTATTTCAAGAGTCGTGGTGAGCAGATCCCTGGGCTTCTCGTTACACGCACAGCCCCTACCCACCCACTCCAGACTTTGGAAGAATATGTAGACTCGTGTCTACATATCACAGGCACTGTGGACGTGGTATATCCACCAAGAGAGTGTAACAATTCATCAGGCTGTGTTTGATTATCCCAGGTTTATGAATTATCTGTGTCCAACATTCCCTTCTTTCCCCAAGTACTCTTTCCCCAAGTACTGGAGAAGTACTTAGGAGTCTCTCATAGGAGTCTGAAATATCGGAGTAGGGACTGATATTCTCTCAATAGGGGTCTGATATATGGGAGTAAGAGAAAATATCAAAATGTACAGAATGCAGTGAATGCTGATTAACACAATAGTATGGATGAAATTTTGCCTGTGGTTGTGATTGATTGTGGATTCTTCGCTAATCTGTGCCCCCCTGTAAAATGGGCAGAACCATAGCGCCGACCTCACAGGGCAGATCGAAGGAGGAAATGAACTTATTTACATTAAGTGCTTAGGATAGTATCTGGCACAGAGAAACTGCTTTGGCCATGTTAGCTTTTACTAATTGGAGGAGCTGGGAAAAAAATTTAATTCGTGTGTCTCAAATTTTAAAAATACAGTAAGATCCCACTAAAGGCTCTTTATAAAGGTGAATTATGCCATAGGTCATAGGATGTTCTTCAGTGGTAATCACTGAGTCTCTCTCTCTGTGAATATAAAAGGCCACACTTAACGGACCTCCTTCTCTACACTAAAATGTGATTTTTAGTAGAGAATGTGACATTTGCTTTACAAAGAACTTCTTTATCTCATTAGAGTCTTATAAGGTCCCTATGAAAGATTTCCTGCAGGTTGACTTGCCTAAGCTTATGTAGCCAAAAAGTTGTAAATATTTGTGAGAGTCCCAGCTATGACTCTACATATTATGCTTTTTCATTTCAGTATATTGACTAGTGTTATTCCACACTGTCATACTTATCAGCTATGAAAAGGCAGACAATGTGATGAAATTCAGGGTAACAGTGTGGGTTCCGTGAGCCCATTTCCATAAGTTCCTGAGTGCTACTCAGTAGATGCAACTGTGGAAGCCTATCAGAAGTTCTG